GGCCGCAACTCCCTGTTTGATGTTGCAGCTCTAATGGCTGCATGTCATATAATATTAGATAAACGAATCGATATTCTATTCTGCAGCACTCAAGAATGGTTGCAAGACTATCCAAACAATATGTTGAGGATGCATAGTTTTTGAAGATAACAACGATAGCTTTCATTTCTTCCTTATCAGACATGAGAGATTCATCGTTAACAAAGGCATGGATTCCTCTTTTGCGCATGGAGTTGTAGAGATGACTAACAAAACTTGAACAATCATAATCACCGCTATGACTTAAAAACACATCATAAGTCCATCTGAATGGATATAACGCTCGCTTTGCCTTGAGACTGGCCACACTTGGAGCTAGATCTTAACAAGTACATCAGAACGTTATCACTTGAAGTTAAAAATTTTGGTTTACAGTCATTAGTTATAAACTAGTCAACTTGCATAAATGATAAAACAGACAGAAAATTCAAATCATATTTTTAAGGGAAATTGATCTCAAAGTATAAATAAAATAGAGAACGACAAGACAGGCTAAAGAAATATGTCAATCTAGCACAGTTTGGGCCAAGACTCTAAGCATAAAGCCAATTGCAAAATTGATATTGTCTCAACACTCTCAACACTGTCAATTTGACAAACAGGAGTTTTGTTCAAAGGAAAGGGTTAGTTCTTAACAAAGTGACAAATCAAGGTTTGAATATATACTATGAGATGTTTTCATATTTAGTATCCATCACTATCTCAAACAAGATTGTATCCAACAAAAGGATACCTGTGCATAACCAAAAAAAAAAAAATACAAAATTGAATTTTTGAAATTTTGAAATGAAATCAAATTTGTGAAGACCATCAGACAAAATGCACACTCTAACCATGATCATACTTTATTTTGCATCTTTTGATTACTTATTTCTTTACTTTTGAAACGATCAAATATTTATTGACTTCGTTAATTTATATTTTGGCTTCTTATTTTTATTCACTATTTTTTAATTTTGTTTTTTTATATGAAATAAGTGTTTGCTACATTGCGTCATAATTTTTTAATCATTACTATTTAAAATAGTCAGTATACTATATTTGTTTACCTTAATAAGTGCATTAGCCAGACTAGTTAATATTTTTATAAGAAATTACTTTTAAAAAAAAGAATTGAATGTAGAGATTGCAAATAGAAATATTTATTTGTTCATCCATGCTCATCTTCTAAAAACACATCGAATAGAAATATTGAGCATAGAGTTGATTAAAGTTAGTTATTCCAATAATTCCTCACTGGAGTTGAAATCTTGCTCCAAGTCATTATTGCAGTTGTAGAAGTTATGGTATTTTCGCTTGGGGTAATCAGGCTTCGTGAACCGAATATTCTCCATGCCATTTTCTTGCTTGCATACGTGAAATCCAATACACTGGATCTCTACACCATTCTTGTGTGTTCCAATTTCTTGCTGGACAGAAACTCTAAAAAGAACACACACCACAATTGCAGGGAACTGTTTTTAGACCCAGAAGCACACTGAATTTCCCTTGCTATGGTAATCAAACCATTTCGGGATGCTTTCTCCTGGCAAAGAAAAATTTAGTGGAACTTGTTTAAATTCTGACACTAAGTTATTTTCAAATAAAAGTTTAACTAATTGTCTGATGATTTATCTTGGTGGACTTGTATTTGTAACCTTCCCTTTTGAACCAATTTCTAATCTTTTTTCTTCATGTTATTTTCATGTTTTGCCTTGTTCAAATTATGGTTGTAGCTTTAGCTAAAGAATTTTATTTTTTAAAGGGAAAAACCAAGGTAAACTTCAAAAATGAAAAAATATATATTATTATGATTATGATTATCATCATTATTATTATTATAAAGGCCCAAAAAAATTGGGTTTACAGGCCAGTTTAAAAGCCTGAATTGTTAAGATTGAGCTTAGTTTAATGAGACTTTCTGTACGTTCGGTTTATTGGGCCAAACTCAAATAGGCCCTGGATTACGGGTTATAGATTTAAGTGCCTTTTCAGAAGAGCATGAAAGCAAGCATACAAAAACAACTCACAGATAAGAGGAAGAAGACCCTGGAGAATTGAACATATATACACGGTCATGCCTTGGTGTCCAAGAAATTGGAAAACTGCGAAAGAAGAAAAAGAAGTTATGGAAGAACTCACAAGAGTACAGATCATCACATGAATGGGCATCATGATAATTGAGTATAATGTTCCATTATTGCCTCTTTCGACATGCTCATGTATATACATTGCGTCCAAATTTATCACACTGCTGTAATAACTTCTGTTCATAGAACATTATAATAACTTATCGAAGTTCATGTTGGAATATATAACTCACTTCAAAGCAAGGTATATAATGGATGAAAAAGAATCAACTAAACGTATATTTGTTGCTATAATGAAAAGTTACAAACTTAGAAAGGGGAATTATCCTCATATATGACATGAACTAAAGCATTCATATATTGGAAAAATGGCAGCAAAAACATTCCAAATATATAAAACTAGTATATTTGTATTGCCTATACAAATGTATTGCTAACAACGTGACATCAGATATTTTTGTGTTGGGTAATTTTGGTGCTTCAATCAGTTGAAATACAGAACAGTACAACGTATGCCTAGGAATGGAGGTCGATAGTTCTAACTTCTTGCCATTATAAGTAAGTATATTTCTATCAATTGTAATTTTAAAGTTGCTACAAATGTGACAAATTTGCATGGGACAAAAACTAAGAAAAACAAATATAGCCAAGTTATATGTGTTATCAAAACCACGTGGTGCAGCAGAGCTTATATATACTATGTTAGAGAATGTCAGTGGCAGACATGAAAAGAAATAGGAAGGACAAAAAATTACCTCGGAAACTCATGGTGCTCGTGGCTGACCCAAGTGAATTGCCAGATTCTGTTAAATTTGAATCCCAATTCATATCCTCCATAGTTTGTTATTTCCCCTCTGAAAGATCCACTAGTAAAAGTATTGGATACCAATCGACCCTCACCATATGAAGCGCTCCGTAATGTTACAAGCATGGCGCTTCTTTCCCTCAGCTTCTGTCTCTGAGCTGTCAGTGTCTTCTTTCTTTCTCTTACCTCGTTCTTCCTTTCTCTGTAGCTCCATTGGCCGGTGACCTGCATCATAAATTTCTTGGATACCAAGACTTATTAACAACTGCCTATCCCTTGTGGTGAAAATGATCCTGCTTCCTTTACCAAACCGATCACATTCTCTAATTGCTCGTAGCCTACCCAATTCTTTAACTTCTTCAATAATTACGAGAATCTTCTTCTGTGGGAACCAGGGTTGTTTTATCAAATCACAGAAACCATCCAATGTGAAAACAATGCTCTTCCTGGCGATTTCCACAGAACGAGAAAAATACCAAAAATCTTCAAAATGACGAGCAATAAAATGACTCACAGGACGTGTCATTAGTGAGAAGTCACGTGTTTCCCAAATTCCTACCATTTTGACTTCCTCATTAGGCCCAACATCCAGAAGTGAGATTACTTCTTGACATTCCCTGCCACACCGTTTTGAGGGGGGGGAAAAAAATCCGCTAGTCCTACTGAGGTTGAAAATGACGTCTTCAATAATATGGTCGTCTTCTTTAGCGTTACTGACAAATTTAGAAGAAATTCACTTTTTAGTCAAACAAAAAATTACGATATGCTATTTTTAGAAATAAAAGCCATGCTCCCCCCCCTCAAAACATATTTCTCCCAATAAAAATTAATAGCATTCTTAACATAAAGAATTAAAAATTGAAATGCGGTAAAATTATTACAAAAATTTTAAAATAATATTAAATTCAGTCACATATATTAAAAAAATTACTAAGTCATTCTAGTGATGAATAAATTTGTAATACAGACATGTACAGTTATTAATTAAAATAATTACATAAATCAAACATGTTCCCCTTTTTTTGTCCTTTTTTTTCTTTTGGTGCCGAGCCTTTTGATCATTGAAAGAATTCAATTATACTCCTCCGGTTCTTAATATAAGACCTATTAACTAATTTCATTATATTAAGAAAGTTAGGTAAGTTAGTTAATTTAAAAAATATGACATATTTTTCCTAAAACACCATAATTATCTTCTTTAATATCCTTCTTCTTTTTTATACTTGATTATGATTGAGAAAGTATCCATAGGGATAATTTAGAAAAAATAGATAAATAAGAGAAATAGATCTTATATTTAGGATCAAAATTAACTTAACAATTAGATCTTATATTAAGAACCGGAAGAGTATATGCATATGGCCATTGTTCAATTACTGTGCCTAAACTTTTCAAAATTTTAAAAAATAGTTTTGCACGTTTTTGGAATAAATATTCAAAATTATTATAAATTCAAAAAATTAAAAAGGGGTCTTATGAGCTTCATTTTCTTATTTTCCCCTTAATGCAAGTATGATCTCCATTTCCATTTGGACATCTGGTTTGATTTGTGCAACACAAGATATACAATACTTATTATATTATTAATATGAATTTGCAATTCAATTTTATTAATTTTTATTCAAATACATGAAAAATACTTTTCATTTACAAAATTATGCTTTTATCTTTTTTCATTCTACTCATCATGGGAAGAACCAGGAAAAATATATCTCATGTTAACCGGTAGTAGCAAAGCATTTTTATCAATATATTATTCCCATGTAAAGTAGAATAATGTATATTAGAGTTATATTGATATAAAATCAAAAACTATATTTAATATGCAACTAATATCAAAATTTCAATAACTCATATTCATAAATTATATATGATACTACATTCGGTTCTTAATATAAGAATTAGTTTAAGTTTCAAATTGGTTCTAAATATAATATCTCAATCCATTTTGTCTCTCATATTTATTCATTTTTTTTAAAGTAGTCTTTGTAGTAGTCGCACATATCAAATATTTTTATCAAATGACAATTGATTAGCAAGGGTATTTTCGGAAAGATAACACCTATTTATTACAAATAACTAACTGAACTAATTTTCTTAATTTACTCAAATTAATCAATTAGCTCTTATGTTAAGAATAGGAAGTAGTATGTCTTATTTATGAAGTTTTTGTTTAATGAACCAATTTGAGATATGGGAGTATTAATAGCTAAAGTAATGTCCAAAAATAAGAATAATTAAGAAAAAGGGTAAGGACATACCTGGTAATGCTTCTCAGGTTAGCTGCTTTAGACAAAGCCAGCCTCCATTTCTGCACTAGTTGTTTGTTGTGTTTGTATATCTTCTCAAGCCTTGCAAATACTTTTCCGTAACTCCCTGTTTGATCTCGCAACTCTAATGGCTCCACGCCATAAAAAATTGGATAAACGAATCGGCATTCTATGCTAAAGCACTCAAGAATGGTGGCAAGACTATCCAAACAAGATGTTGAGGATGCATAGTTTTTGGAGATAACTATGACAGTGGTCTTGGATTCTTGTATTGCTTTCAATTCTTCCTCACTTGTCTTGAGAAATTTATTGTCAATGAAGGTATGGATTCTCCTTCCGCATAGGCGATTGTAGAGATGGCTAACAAAACTTGAACATTCATCATTGTCACCTCTATAACTCAAAAACACATCATAATTCCATGTGGATGGTAATACCGCTCGCTCTGCGTTCACATCTTCATTTTGTGAAACCTGGGCCTTGAGATTGGCGACACCTGGAGCTAGGTCTAAGCAAGTACATTGAAATATTATCATCTCAAGTTAAAAATGTCTATTTACATTTGTATTAGTTATGCAATAGTCAACTTGCACAAGTGATAAAACAAATAAGCTTCAAAATCACCATATTTTTAAAGGAAAATTGATCTAAAATTTCTTGTAATTTCTCTTTTTTAATTAGATCCTATCTGTTTCTATCGTCAACTCCTTCAATCCCCATCTTTGTTTCACCTAGTTTGTTGGATTTGTTGTTATTGCTAGTAATCAAGCAATGTTTTGACATGAGAAAGATATTAAAGTAGGTAACACAGAACAAAAGGAGAAACCCAACCTTGGTAAGGCATGTTGTCTTCAAGTTCTTCCCGGTGTTGTGGATGTTGTAATCTTTCCCAGGAGTTACTATCAATGTATGTTGTCCTAGGATCCATAAATCGGATGGTTGTTGAGTTTTTTTGTTGCTTATAAACATGAAGGGCTAAGTGAAATTGATCCCTTCCCTTTTTCATTTCTTGGACATTGCTCTTGATGGAAACCTTCACATGATTCCATTTATTTCCATGTGGCAGTTCAGCCTTGGGAATCATACTTTGCAGATCGCATATACATAAATGACCCATCTTCATCGTTGATAACAGAAGCCACTCAGAAGAAACGTCTAGCTTGACATTATTGACGTGCACCAAGAATGAACAATTGAAGAGAAAATCCTGATCTTGTTTAACAAGAATCCATAGAAAAATTGTTGGAAACACATCACGAACCCAAAAGGACACACAGCTTCCCCTACTATAACTATCAACATTTTCTGGGAATTTACCTCCAGGAAAGATAAAGTTTGTTTTCCCAGGTTGCAAGTTGAGTACCTATCAATTGCATTTTAAGGGGGAAAAAAACTAATAAATAAAATGTAGGGAGATGATTATATACACATAGAGGGAGGGATAGAAGAAGAGAGACCTGATACAATACTCTGCTTTCAGATGTTTTTGTCAATGACATGCAGCATATGGCACTGAATTTTTCCAAGTTTGGTGGCATCTCCTCAATATGTTGAAGTCGGTTGCAATGATCCAGTGAAAGATATTTCAAATGGTGACATTCCTTGACGCATGCTGGAAGGGTTGTAACACGACTACTGAAGCTTAGATCTAAATGTATCATATTAGTGAAGTGAGAGAGGCAAAGAGCAAGAGAGTCATCTGATAAATTGCATTTTGAGAAGCAAAAACGTTCTAGTTTCAAAGACAGTGCATAGCAATCCAAGTTTCCTTCTTGTCCTTCCTCATACATCTTTATATGAGATAGTACTTTAGAAGAAGCTGCATTTAGTTCCCAAAGATTTGGCAGCAAACAAATGGTGGTTGGTAGCTGCTCAAGATAAGGACATTCCTCTATGTTTAAGGTTTCAAGTCCAATGAGATTACAAATTGAAGATGGCAACACAATAATGGCTGTTCTACCCAAGTGAAGATTTCGCATATATTTCATCTCAATCAATATCTCTGGGAAACTATAGAGACTTGAACAACCATAGAGGTTGAGATTCTCAAGAGATACCAGTCTAAGGTCTGGAAGCAAAATCTCCAAGCTATTGCATCGCATGGCACTCAATTCTTTCAATTTATTCAAACACCCAACTGAATGATGGATTTCGACTAAATTTGTGCAATCATCAAGCCACAATTCTCTTAAATTAGAAACTCCAGATAAATCTGGAATTTGTTGTAGAAATTTGCAATTTCTAAAATTCATGCGGCTTAAAGTGTGGAACTTCTGCAAAAACAAAAATAAATTCTCAGAAAGTTAGACACATAAACCATGAAAAAATATGGCAAGTGTTAGATATACATACATACGTACCTTTGTAAATGGCTGGAGTGTATCAAAACAACTATCTGACAAGTCAAGACAAATAAGTTCTGTTGAACAAATATTATGCGGCAAAAATTTGAAAGGATACCCCTTCCATTTCAACCACTTTAAACTCTTCGGGAGATGTGTGGGGCATTTTGAAATAAAGCTTGTACTTTTTATCACAAGGATTTTGAGATTTGTCATCCTCATGAATGCCTTTCCACTCCATTGCATTTGTACTTCATTATCTTCAGAAAAGTCTTCAGGTAGGTCTAGAAATATGACTCCCACTTTATTGGTTCCCTGTCAAAATGAATACTACACAATAAATTTTAGAACTTAGACATGCAAAAATCATAACGTAATTTTAAAGAATAAAAAAAAGAATTCATATATCAGTGATCTTACTGTGTTTCGATTTAAAACATGGAGAATATCTTGGTAGAACCATAACCTACTTCGTTTACCAGGTTCATTTGGTGATTCTTGTCGAACAATTTCTTTACCCATATCTTCAATCACGTCATGCATTAACACCTGATCTCCTTCAATCCTTATGAGGGATTTATTGACCAGAACATTAATAACATTATCTAGTGGGATTCCATATAAACATAACAACATGCCCTTAACTTCTCCTAATTCCTCACCTTTGGAAAAACAAGCCAAGTGTAGGAAAATTTCTTTCTCAAATTCTCCTAAAGCATCATAGCTTAATCTAAGGACTTCCAAGACTTCTCCTTGTGGAATTCTTTTAAATTGATCCAATGCAGAGTGCCATTCATTGACTCCTCTACCGCATAAGTGAGAACCAATCACTTTTAGGACTAATGGAAATCCACAACAATAACGTATTGCACGCTTAGAAGCCTCCATGAAATCAGACTCCACATTCTCCTTTTTAAAGGCATGCCAACAAAGCAATTGAAGAGATTCCTCATCATGTAATTCCCTAACATTATAAATGCTCTTAACATGAGAACTTGCTAACAACTGTTTATTTCTAGTTGTTATGACAATTCTACTTCCAAGACCAAACCAATCACAACTTCCAGCTAGAGCTTCTAGCTGTTTCAATTCATCAACATCATCAATGATCAAAAGAATTTTCTTGTGGCCAAGCCTATGTTTTATTACTGGTATTCCTTCATGCAAATCACCCAATTTGAGATCTTTCTCCTTGACTAATTTACAAAGCAATGTCTCTTGAAGATGTGCCAAACCATTTGGCATTCTAGACTTTTCCCTCACATTAGGAAGAAAACATAAGCCTTCAAAATGATCAGCAATCAAATTATATAAGGCTCTTGCAATCGTTGATTTACCTATCCCACCAGGTCCCACAATTCCAACCATTTTATTTTTCTTAGTAGACCAAAGATCTAAATGTGAGACCACTTCTTTCACCCGAGACACAAGTCCAACAGGGTATTGAGTAACGTGTAAATGATTATGAATACGATTAATCCTCGCTGATACTTCATTGGTGATCTTTGTAATATGTTCTTGCTCATTTGCAATCCTGAACAATCAGAGAAAAGTTCACGATTAAACTAAATTATATGACGTGCCAAAGCTAACTTTTGTCGTCTTCTATTCATCCTTATAAAAGGTCCCATTCCTTATCCAAGCAAATATGTAAGTATTGTCAGGGAAAACACTCAATCCATATTATAAAAAAAATAAATAGATAAATTTTTAATAAAAATAAGGGGAAACGACACAAAAAAAAAAGCACTCCAACATGCTACACCCAAATTTAGGAAACTAACGGTTCATAATACATTAAAGGGAAGGAAACTAAAATGCCATTTTAAAATTAAGTTTAAAAAAACTGCCAAATTTAAGGATGGCCATTAGGTCATCAATACTTTACTATTAATATGATGCCAAAACAAAAATAAATAAATAAATATATATATATATATATATAAGTTTAACTAGCATTCATTCACAACTTTTTGAATAAAGCTTAACAAGTCACAGTTTTAATTTAAATACTTGAGAAATGAGCAAAAAATCATATATTGAGGAAACATTCAATTCCTAAACTTCGGATGATAATAACAAATTTTCAATTTATTTTACTAATTTTAAAATAAAAATGAACATAAGGGTATTTCTGTCATTTTGCTTCAATTTCAAAATATCTATTTAAGGTGTGGTATTATGAATTATTAGCTGCTAAAATTGGAATTCGTCATTTTCAAGATTCTTTTTGTGTCTTTTTTTCAATAAATAATATATATAATTATTGCTACAAACATGCATGCCTACTAAAATAATTATTTTAATTAATAGAGCTACTCTACATTGGGTGGGAAAGGACAAGGAAATTGTTTCTCTTCTCCACCCTTTCTCTCGACTATGGTGCCCGGTCCTCCTCCACCTAAGACCATATCGTTTTGGGTCAAAAATGAAAGGGTTTTTTCTTTGACCTTAAAAATAAAAGGGTTTGAACACTTTTTTTTTAGCATCAAATATTTTAAAATACTTTTTTTAAGAGCATTTATTATTCTAAAATAATAATAAAAGGGTTTGGATGATTTTTTTTACATTAAATATTTTAAAATACTTTTTCTAAGAACATTCATTATTCTAAAACAATTTTTATTCTCTCAATAATCTAAAATATTTTTTAAGGAGGACCGCCCAATACCTTAAAAGAAATTTTGGTACACTCTGTATTTTAAAATATTTTTTAGAATAACTCAGTATTCTAAAATAATTTTTAATGCATCTATCAACATAAATTTGTTTTGAAATAGTGATTAGTATTTTAAGTTTAGAGTACTTGTTGTTACTAAAAAAATATTTTAAGATATCAGGTGTTATTAGAATAAAAAGTTATTTTAGAAATCTAGTTGCTCTACTGAAAAAATAATTTTAAGAGTATGTTGAATACATCAAAAATTATTTTAAGACACTGATGAGTGTTAATGAGAAAATATATATTTTAGGCTGTTTGAGTGTATCAAAAAATTATTTCAGGATGAAAAAAATATTTCAAGATAATCTTATTAAAAAAAATAAAGGATAGGACATGGACATGCAAATACTAACATATTTTGCACGGCTTTTCAAAGAAATGAACACGACAAAAATGGAATCAAAAGCCTTACATTTCATGTTGGATTTGTATTTAATCACGTCTAATTAATCAGGTCACGTTGTTAGAAGTATCTCAGAAGTCAGAAGAATAATATTCAAATAGTTTAAGAAAAATAAAAAAGCAAACGGTAGAAAAACATACTTGGCTTTGAGATGACACCCTTTCAAATTAGCTGCTTGGGACAAAGCCAACCTCCAATTTTCTACTTGTTGTTTATTGTCCTTAAATCTTTCCTCCAATCGAGCCAAAGCCTCTGCATAGCTTGCTCTCGGACGTCGCAACTCTGATGGATCCACATAGTAAAATATTGGATATATTAACCGACCTTCTTCTTTAAAGCATTTGAGAATCTCTACAAGTTCCTGCAGGCAGAATGTTGAGTTGGCATAGTTCTCGGAGAAAACTATGATAGCTATCCTGGATTCTCTTATGGCTTTGATAAGTGCTGGTGTGATTTCTTCTCCCGTTCTGATGTGCTCATCATCCATAAAGACACGGATTCCTCTTTCATGTAGAGATCCGCGAAGAAAGCTAACGAAACTTAACCGACTGTCTTCACCATGAAAACTAGGAAACACGTCATACTTCCATTTGTAATCAATGCAAGAGGACACTGCTGGTTGAGCCATGGCAGCAACGTAGTGCGTTGCTAATTTTAGCAGACTCGCAGGAGCCTAGAATAAAGCAAATGAGAAAGATGCCGTCCCTGGGCTAGAAACAATGAGAGGTTGACTGAGGAAGCTCTTGGTAGATTTTGGAGAACAAGAGGCGGTCATTCACCCATTGTAGTACGACCCTATTGGGTCATCTCATCCACCTACCGTAAGTTAGGGGCCAAAATAGTCTTGTTAATTGAGGAAGCTTCCCAGAAGTTACCTTGGATTATAAAGCTGTCATGCATTAATTCCCACTTCCTGCTGAAGGGTTAGAGTACGGATCAATAATTGAGGCCGATGCCAAGCCTCCACGAAACTTCCTCATAAAGGAGTTATTTTTATCGGATTTTTACTAACAAAAAAATGAAATAAGCCCAGTCTTAACATAAATAATAAAAAATGGAAATGTTGTAAAATTGTTTACAAAATGTAAATGAGTATTAATAATTACATAAATCAATCTCAAGTTGCGTTCTTGTTCCATTTCTTGGGGACTAAAGTATTTTTTTTTTAATTGAAAATGCCACTGGGCATAGTGGATCGCTTGAGCTTGTTTGTCTTGTGGTCCCCCCCCGGGGGCGGGGGCCGGGGACAATTATAAGCTTATAACACCGTTAGACCAGTCCAGACAAGTATATAATCGTGTAGTGAACATCAGTTCTACGAAGGGGCGAACAGACTTCCACGAAGCTCCGTCGTGTTTCCTTTGAAATTTAAGGTACATTTGGTATGAGAGATTTGAAAGGAAAAAGGAGAGAAAAATTTCAATCATTTCTTCTTATTTAGCATCATACAAATTTTAGGAGGAGAGGAAAAATTCATCAAGCTCCCCTTCAAAATTGAGACGATTTAAAGGTAAAGGGTAATATTTTACTATATTGTGACTATTATGCCTATATTTATTTTTAATATCCCTATACTATCTTAAATCCTTCTCTTATTGTCTCCAAATGCTGCTCTCTCCTTTACATGACCAAATATTTCATTCAAAGATAGGATACAGTACAAGTTGTATCTGAACTTTATTTCACCTTTTTTTCAATAATACTTCACGCTTTAGAGTATGTTAGAATTTTGATATAAGTATTGCTCAATATATTAAATGTTATTTACAATCCATTTTATTAAACATTCGATAAAATTTGAAAAAATAATCTTAAATAAAATAAGAGAAAAATTGTCTATGTTAAAATATTTTTTCTCCCCTCCCTTCATGAACCAAATAAGATAATATTAAAACTCCTTCGCTCCCCTCTTTTTTATAAATCCAAACAAGATAATATTAAAATCCTTCCACTCTCCTCTCCTCTCCTTCCCTCCATTAAAATCCCTCCCCTCGTCTTCCTCTCATTGAGCCAAACAGACCCTTAGAGAATATTTAGATAAAATAAAAATCATAATTTTAAAAATATTTTTATAGTGTACGAAATAAATATACGGAGGAACTTATCTCGATTTGTAAAAAAAAAAAAAATACTGTTTTTCATTGTCAAACACACCCTTAATGGCTAACAGCCTAGATAGGTGTTTAAGAACACTCAAAAATACTTTTTAAAAAAATATTTTTTTATAAATTGAGACAAACTTTTTTTTATATATTTACTTCATATATTATACAGTTATTTTTAAATTTATAGTTTTATTTTCACCAAATTAAACACTCCTTCAATTATGTAAATAATAGATTAGTTAGATTTAGTGTACAGCTGTAAATTAGCTAACACCATCACATGACTCAGTGTATATGAACACTTGTATTACTCATTACTTCCACTGTCTCTTTTTATAAACAACATTAAAACTTATTATGTAAATTAAAATATTAGTTAAAGATAATAAATACGTATAAATTAAAAGTTCTTTCTCTTAGATGTCATTATTTATCGGAAAAAAAGTATAAAAAAGGAATAAAAAATTATTATAATAAAAAAATTATAAAAAAAGAAAATGTGTAATGAAAAGATGTGATGTCAAAAATAAGATAATAAATATGTTGAGTATTAACATAAGTAATTAATGAAGATAAAATAAAAAATTTATTATAAAAATTTAAAATAATTTATAAATGTTACTTATATTTTTTTAAAAAAAATTATAGTTACAAATCTTTTACCCCTCTTTTTCTCTCTCCGTGTTAATGGCTCCGAAGAAAGAAATAGGAAGTGAAGAAGAGTCAAACTCAAACATGGGGAAAATAAATTGACTTGAAATCTTAATTATATCATATTACTGTCGAGTTACAAATTCAATTTATTTGGATTATTTGTAATCATACCCAATTATTCACCATTCATTGCTTTCAACGGTCCAGCATAGCTTAGGAAACTAACTCGACCACTTACCCCCATTATTCTCGATTCCTAGTTCGAATTATCTCTACAGAATTTTGTGAAGGCTTCATTTGCCTTTTATTACCTGTGATCCTCGATATAACACTTAAGTGACTAATTTTAATAGATTAAAAAAACTAATTAAATTAATTATTTATAATAAATAGGTATTATCTTTCTTAAAATATTCTTACTAATCAAATGTATTAGTTAGAATTATTATTATTCCAAGGACTACCTTAGAAAAATGGATAAATATAAGCGACAAAATATATTGGAGTCTTATATTTAGAATCAAAATAAAAATCAAATGAACTCTTATATTAAGAACCAAAAGTAGTATATTTTATTAACAAAATATTTTCAATTTATTACAACTCAAATTATGCAACAAAAATTATTGTCTAATTTAATGACAAAAGCATCTATAGTAGTAGCTAATGCTACAACAACAACAATTTTAACATGTTAAGTAAAGTCGACTACAAGAGTCACGCAATATTATTGTACTTTATCCTAGATCAATTCTTCCAATAAGTCATTAATGAAGAGATCTTGATTAATCCAATGCTAACCCTATCCCCAGTCCTGTGCCTAACATTATCGTGGTCGTCGTCAAAAATGTAAAAGAAAATGGCAGTCAAATTACTAATAGTATTGCTTTTAGATGTACGTCTTTTTTTATTCCAGTATCATTTTCGTTCTATCTAACAGCCACACATCTAATTAATTACATATTTTAGGAAAAACTGGGAATAAATCCCTCAAATTTATTAGTAAATGGTTCTTATGATAGATTGTATTAGGAAAACAAGTTACATGCAAGAGAAGTTAAGTTGTGTGAAAAGAAAATGGTTTGTACAAAACATTAGGATTAATCTGCATATAGAAAAAAATAGATTGCACAAAAAAAAAATCAGTTGCATAAAGGAAAAATGTCTCACAAACAAAGACAATTGCACACAAGAAACGTTATAAGCTGTGCAAAATCGTTAGAGATCATTTGTCAATTAATTTCTTAAGTAGGAATTCATCTCCAATTTTCCCCTTCTAATATGTTATTAGTACCATTTATCTTTTACTCCGTCACATCTCTACGATATATAAGCACCTAATAGTAACTTTACATTAAATAATGAATTTAGTGAAAATTAGTTATTTCTTATAAAATATTAAAATTATTCTCCATAAAACTCATTGGTTATAAAGTAGAATGAACAAATTAAATCAAACGAAAAGGTAGGCAGGTATGACAAGCTCTATCCTCCGTGAGCCTCACTCTTGTTATAATGCAAAGGCGAGAAAATCCAGCACAACTTTATAGTCAACTACCAATTAAGGTCATAGATTGGCCGCAGATTGGGTTTAAGATGAACCAAGATCAAGATCCAAAATGAGCAACAACAAAGAGGAATACACTTGTTCAATAATACCTATAAAGTCAAGTCTACAACCTTAAAACCCAAAAAAGGTTTTATTTCCCAAGTTTATGTTGCATATTAAAAAGCCAGCATTAACATGGAATTAAGAATGATTTTCACAAGTATACCATGCCTAGAAGAATTCAAATAGAAGCAGGGTCAGGCAAACCTTTTGGAATGTGGCCACGACTTATGGGATCCCCCAAAAAAATCCAAAAGGAAAGTTTCAATATCGCAAACATTGTATTTAATGTGTTTGTCACCTACGTAATTATAATACTTCCTTAAGAATGCTTGATAAGCATGAACTAGCTTTTGGGATATAGAGATCCGCATGCCCTCACGCAGTAAACAATCTGGGATCACCCAAGCAGTTTGGATCCTATAAATATCCTCAAAGGCAACGTAGAAATTTCGCAATCTCGTCTTGAGAAGATTACACGACATAGATAATTGAATTCTCTTATCCTTAAGCAAAGAGAGAACTGAACTCCAACTAGCTTGCTCATAGTTCCATGCAGTTGCTGGTACTTGTAGACGTGCTTTCGAATCCATTCATCTCCAAAAATATGCTTCAATTGAGATTCTTGAATCCTTTGAGCCATATAATGCATATTGACGATTAAGAACAGGTGTTGGCAAGCAGCTTCCTTATGTAACTTGGACTTGTTCTCAAGCTTCAATTCCAAGATTGAAGTGATTGATCGAAAATGAATTGTGACTGAGGAAACACTACTGTGGGAAGATCCCAAGATGTCACTATCTTGTGATGTGTCATGGCTCATTGAGTGGTACAGTGAAATATCATACTCTAATTCCTCTTCACCATTCAGTATATTAAGGGTGTTATTGTAGTCGAAGAAATAACTAATATGGCTCATGACATAATAGGTTAGGGGATGAATTCCACCACTTGGGAAGGGAGATCGAGATGGATTTGATGCAATGACATTTTTAAATGCAAGAAATATTAACCCCACACAAGCACCTAATCTGTTTAGAGCCACCTCACACTTGATTCTAACTGAAGAACCAACCTCACCTAAATACAAGGCATCTAGGTCTGGTATTGGATCTGCCAGATCTTGGTACATGTCAAGAAAATGAAATATTCCCTCAGAATTGTGAGCACCAATAGATATAGCTTCACAAAATTCTAGAAACCATAACATTAAAGCCTTTGATACACCAACAAAACAAATCAAACTGGCCTCAGTGTCTCTAAAAATCTGCTCACTTAGCCACTTCTCACTTGCAATATACACCCTAACAAATATTTTCACTTGATAAATCCATCCTTTGATTTTGGAGTTCAAACTATCCCATTCCCTTTTTGAAACATTTTCAATGCTCAATCTTTCCCTTTCAAGATGAAGCAGAAACTCATTTAAGGCATGTCTTCGAACATTTTTGTGGGCATTGTAACATTCTCAACTATAGTCTAACACAAATATTAAGCTTGCAATACATTTAATATGTTGGAGCAGTTCTGGACGGACTAAATCCAAGATATGCTTTTCAGATGCTTTGCTGAAACTACCTTCACCAATGGTGTCCTTTAATTCATTAGACTAGAAGGGGGTAGATTTATGATCAAAAGGATCCCTATTTTGAACTAGGAATTGCTTGAACTCAACCTTAAGTCGTGCCTTATCTGTTAGAATTTTGAGATCCATCAACACAAAACTGTACCCTTGCTCTTCTATGTTCAAATGCAGCATACTTTCCAACAATTCAATCAATTGGTTAGCTGCCACAACCACATTAGTCAGATCTTTTAACTTCAAAATCATGGATTGATCTTCCTTCCATCTCCTTATTTTCCTCAGGATGGCATTATGCTTACTTCATATCAAACTATCTCGCTCGTCCTTCCTCTCACTTAATTTGGAGATGTAGCAAAAGTTTGGGCCAATATCTACCACAATGAAAATATTTCATACACAAGATATATGCAAATTATAAATCTATAGGTTTGCCAACAAGGGCACAAGTTTGATGTTTCTTATATCATCATAACAGGTAAATCTTGTATTAAACTATATGAGACATCATACAAGAAAACACTAATCATGATAAAGCCAAATTATATGAGTTAAATGCAAAGCCAACATACACAGTAGCTCATATATAAAGGGATAGAAATCAATGGAAGTGCGCAAAGAAAAAGGACAATAGATACCTTGATAACTTATGTTGTTCTGGGTTAATTCTGCATAATTAGTTGATTCTGAGTCTTGATTCATAGCATCTTTCAATTGCTCCAAATCTTCTGGTTGTTGAATTAGCTTCCATGAATAATAATCGATGCATGCTTTAGGGTTCATGAACTCGATATTCTTAATATTATTTCCTTGCTTGTACACGTGAATTGCAAAATAAACTTCCTTCTTGCTTCTTATTTTTTGTGTTTTGTTCTCAATGGAAACATTGACATGATTCCATTTATCCATGAGGGAGAGTTGAAGCTTGCGAACTATGCTTTGCATATAACTAAGATATATGTGATATCTCTTCATTGTTGAAAGTGAAAACCATCCAGAAGAAATTTCTTGTACAATATTATTGACGCGTACAGAAAATTTACAATCGCACAGAGAAAGTTGGTCGTCTTTTACAAGGATCCACATATAAATATTTGGCAACTCATTATGAACCCAAAAAGATAGTGAATTTCCACAACTATATATGTCAAGCCATTCTGGGATATTTTTTCTCGACAAAATGAAGTTTCTTTTCCCTCGATATTGGTGAATTGCTTGAGAAGGATTAACAATCATCAAAAATTGATCATTTATAAATAGGAAAAACAAAAAAGAAAAGAAATGGAGACCTGATTCAATAACATCCTTCTTGACGTCTCATTTAACAATGTGCAATGCAAGGCATTGAATTTTTGTAGCTTTTTTGGCATCCCTTCAATATGTTGAAGCATATTGCAATTATCTAAGGAAAGATACTTCAAATGGTGACATTCTTTGATGGAGGCAGGAAGGGTTGTGAAACTATTATAACTTAGATCTAACTGTATCAAATTAGGGAAGTAAGAGAGACAAAAGTCAAGAAAACCATTTGACAAATTGCAATTTGAGAAGCAAACATGTTCCAATTTCATCGACATGGCTGAGCAGTGTAAGCATGCTTCTCTTTCACTTTCACACATCTTAAAATGTCTCAACTCTTCACAAAAGTTTGACGTTATTGTCCATAGGTTTGGCATCAGACAAATGACAACTGGCAACTATTTAAGGTTATCACACTCATCCCTATTTAAGCTTTCAAGCACAATCAGATTGCAAATAGACGATGGCAATTCTTCTATGGCTGTCTTATCCAAATCAATTGTTCTTATTTTCCTCATTTCGTCTAATATTTCTCAAAATCTTCGAACGCTTAAACACCCATAAAGGTTGAGATGTTTAAGACATGCCAATTTAATACCAGTTGGTAAGATCCTCAAATTTTTGCATCACATGGCACTAAATTCTCCAAGCTTATCCAAAAGTCCAACTGAATCGTGGATTTTAGTTAAGTTTGTACGATTATCAAGCCACAATTCCATCAAATTGGAAACTTCTGACAAATCTAATATTTGTCTTAACAACTTGCAATTTCCAAAATTCATGCAACTTAGACTCTTGAACTTCTGCAAAATAAAGAAAAATTTATTCTTAAAATCAAAAGGAAACAAAAAAAAATAGAGAGAGCTCATCCTAATATTCCTTCGGTCCTTAATATAAGACTCATTTAACTAATTTGATTAGATTAAGGAAGTTATATAAGTTAGTTTATTATAAGAAAAGTGATTTTCCTAAAACACCATAATCATCTTTCTTAATACCCCCTCTCCTTCTTCTATTTGATTATGGTTGAGGGAGTATCTGTAGGGGTAATTTAGAGAAAATTGATAAATATGAGAAATGGATCTTATATTTACAACCAAAACTAACTCAAGAATTAGGTCCTATAGTAAGGACTGGAGGAGTACATTATATACATACCTTATTAAGTGGTTGGAGTAATTTAATGGAACTATTAGACAAGTCAAGACAGATGAGCCTTATTGGATGAAAATTTGATGGCAAAAATTTCGAAGGATACCCCTTCCATTCCAATACACTTATGCCTCGTTTGGTAGGAAGATTGAAAATGAAAGAGAGGGATTGTGATTGCAATTGAAAAAAATCATTAAAATAGTATTTAATATGAGTAATTACTTGTTGCATGGGATTAGGCAAACCCATAGAGGTGGGATTGAGTAATACCACTTCCCCTAATAGTATTTCCCAATTCCATATACATGGGTTTAACTAATCTCATATAACAAGCAATCTCTTATACTAAACATTCTTTTAATAGATTTTTTTCAATCACAATCCCAATCACTAATTCTCAATACCTTCTACCAAACACAACCTTAAGGTGTTTGGGAGGCATTCAAGACTTCTAGAAAAGCTTGCATTTTTTATCACAAGCATTTTGAAGTTTTTAGTGTGTTTAAATGCCTTTTCACTCTATTGAACTTCTTTATCTTCAGGTAAGTCTAGAATTATAGCTTCAATCTCATCAGATCCCTATAAAAATAGAGAGCAAACATAATAAATGTCATTATATGATTTATACAACCCATATAAGGAAAGGTTTTAAAAAAACAACATCATATAAAACAATCTTACTGTGTTTTCTTGTAGAACATGGAGAATGTCGTCATAGAAACACAATCTATCTCGTTTTCCAGGCTCTTTTGATGATTTTTTCCCAACAATTTCTTTGCCCATCTCTTCTATCATGTCATGCATAGTCACACGATTTTCTTCAATCTTCACAAGGGATTTATCCATAAGTGCTCCAATAATATACTCAGGATGAACTCCTCAGAAACTAAGCAATGTTTTTATGACATCTAATTTTTCACCTTTGAAAAAGCATGCCAAGTCAAGGAACATCTCCTTCTCTCTATCCTCTAAAGTGTCAAAGCTTAATTTCAAGACTTCAAAAACTTGTTTATTTGGTATTCTTCGGTATTTATCAAATGCATATTTCCATTCATCAATCATTTTGTCACATAAATCAGAGCCAATTACTTCCAAGGCTAGTGGAAGGCCACATGAATAAAGTATTATATTATTTGAAATATCAAGGTAACTAAAATCTATATTTTCCTTTTTCAAGGCATTCCAACTAAACAACTGAAGAGCTTCTTCATCATTTAATTCCATGACGTCATAAATTCTTTTAATCCCATGACATGCTAACAAATGCTTATTTCTAGTTGTACTTATGATTCTCCTTCCAAAACCAAACCAATCACATCTTCTCGCTAGAGCCTCTAATTGCTCCAATTTGTCAACATCATCAATAACCAAAAGGATCTTCTTTTGATGAAGCCTATGTTCTATAATAGAAATTCCTTTATCGGAATCTCCCAATTTAAGATCTTTCTCCATGACTAATTTGCAAAGTAATATCTCTTGAAGATACAGCAAGCCATGCTTGTTAGAAGTTTCTCTAGCATTAGAAAGAAAACATAAACCATCAAAATGATCAGCGATTGAGTTATAAACAGCCCTTGCAATTGTTGATTTACCTAATCCCCCAATGCCACAAATTCCAACCATGTTGACTTCTTCATTGGGCCAAAGATCTACAAGTGACATCACTTGTTGGACCCAAGGCACAAGTCCAACTGGATAATTGGTGACATGTAATGGTGTGCGATTGATCTTTTTAGAGACTTCACAAGTGATCCTTCTAATATATTCTTGTTCTTTTGCCATCCTGCCCATGATAAAAATTATCATTTGTTCGGTGTTTGTTTGGACATATTATTTCTGATTGTTGATACAAAAGTTATAGAACTAATTTGTGAATATTAATAAAATTAATTAAGTCAATTATTTGTAATATATGGTTATTTTTTTCTCTAAAATATCCCTCTTAATTATATGTATTGAAAGTAACTCTTGATGAAAACTCTTTAACATATGCAATCAAGATAAGGATTACTTAGGAGCAAACATGATAAGTATTTAGAACAAAGTGAATTGTGATATTATATTTAGGATCAAATTAAATTTTTAACTAGCTTTTATATTAGGGATAAAAAGTGCTGCCTTTAGTCCTAAGTATAAGACCTCATTTGTAGTTTACAAATGATATCTTATACATAGGATTGGAGGGAGTATTATGTAATTTTCAACTATTGCCAAACCAACGCAATCAAACCGCAAGCAGAGATATCCCAAGTTACGGAGTGTAATAAAATATAGGCAGAAGTGCACTTTTAATTAACCGTTTAATGCATGTGAAATTTTGATTTGATTTTTTTAATTTTATCAAGTATTGTTTTTAATCCACTAAACCTGCATATTATTCTTTTGAAAATTGAACTTAGTATATCAGTACTCAAAAATACTTTATCAATATTTTAAATTTTAATATTAGCATCTTTTATATTAACAACATTAGGATGGAAGAACCCAAAAAATACCTTATAATAAAACTAAAAGATAAAAGCGAAAGAAACCTTATGTAGTTATGTGAAATTAAATGATTAAAGACATGCTTTTGTCTAAAATATAAATGTGAGGTGTCGCTTGGATATGGATTTCATCTTTATATTCTCACATAAATTAAAATGTAAACAGAAAGATACTCTAATTTACAATTTACTACCAAATGCACAAAAAGAGTATGAATAACAACTCATTTTATTTTAAATTTCTTAATCATGGGTATATTGAAAATGTAAATAACAGTTTGTTTTATTGAAAAAAAAAATACTCCGTGCAAAGCACTGTTGTCAAACTCATAAGTTAACTCTTCGAGTTTAACGTTTTTACGTTTTCAGCTAACAAAATCGTGTTGATTCGTTCTTAAACTTGTGATAACTGTAAACTCGATTAAACTTATGAGTTCATTTACCGAGTTTACCGTTTTTATGTTTTTAGCTTACAAAATCGTGTCAACTCGCTCTTAAACTCGTGCTAAATTTTTTAATTTAATTATATTTAGTGACATTATATATGATTTTTTATAGAAATTTCTTTGTTGAATATGATAAATTATGAATATTGATAGATATAATTTCAATTATTTAAATTTAAAATATATTTAAATGAAATTATTCTGATTTTTATATATTAATTATTTAATTATATACTTTTAATATCAGTTTATTAATAAAAGTGAACTTTTAGGAATTCACGATCCGAGTTTACATCATTATCACGAGTTTGTTTAAACTGGCGAGTTTAACAACCTTGGTGCAAAGTATGATTTATATAACTTGTTGATTTTTTTTTTTAATTTGTTACTCCCGTGTATATTAAAAAGTTAAACCAGACATCTTGTTCCAAAATTTATTATTCCCATGTGTCCCAATGTAATAGAAATTATTTTAATAGCAACTTAAGATTATGTTTATAATTTATTATTTTTGCGAGTACTAAAAATTATAAATGATGTAATTTATTAACTTTTTAATAATAAATTCTAAAGTAGAATATATTATTTTTAAAATTTTAACTTATGTGATAATGTATAAGCTATTTTGAAATAATAAATTATTCTTTCTAATTTTAATATGAAAAAATAACAAGTGGATTAAGAGGTCCAGGGGCAATATTAAAATTTGAGACGTGATACGTATGGGACTCACCTTCCTTCGGAATAATTCGTTTTTTGTTGGTGCTGACGCGGGCTACATATTTCCCCCTTAAATGACGATGGCGTTTTTTATTTTTTAAATAAAAGAAAATTTTAAAATTTACTAAATTTTAAAGAAAATTCAATAAAATTTAATTTTTTTATAAATATAATAAGATATATTAATTGTTTCTTATAAACTGGGGGAAAAAAAAGAGAGGAAAGTGCTGATTTTTTTTATTAAAAGTCAATTTTTAGGGTACTTGTTGAAGCTAAGTTGTATAATATATATATATACATATGTATATATTCCTTTCATTTAGTTAATGGCTTTGTAGATCGTAGAAAGGAGAACGAAATATGAGAGAACGATCGAGATAAGATTTCATTGGCCCATAAGAAGAGATTGTCTTTTTTAGTCAAAGGGAAAATGGAAGAATACTAATAGTGCAATTAGTTCCTATATCATGAGGCCACGTGTAATAATATACAGGATTTGTCGAAGCACGGGGAAGAAAGACTGGAAGATGGAGTAGCCATTTGATGTGACAATGGAAGACCGTGGGAGAAGACTTGGACAATTGGAAGACCGTGGGAGCTGACTTGGATACTTTTGCATTAGGCCATCAGCCACCCGGTCCATCCCTCACCATTAAAGTTGTCAGTAGCTCAAGTACTAAATACAGAATCTAGACTTGTATCAAAAAAAAAAAACACATATATAAATATATATATATATATATATGTGTGTGTGTGTATATATTTATAGAATCTAGACCAGAGCTTCACTTTGGTTTTAAATGTAAAATTCTAATTTATTTTTCCTTAAAAATGTATAGTTTTGTCTAAATCATTCCTATTGATATTACATAATAAAAAGCTCTCAATTAAAAAGTAACTTAAATGTACATGATTAAATATGATACTCCTCCAATCCTTAATATAAGATCCATTTAACTAATTTGATTATATTAAGAAAGTTAAGTAAATTAGTTAATTATAAGAAAAAGTGACACATTTTTTCTAAAATACCATAATCATCTTTCTTAATACCCCTCTCTCTCTTCTACTGGATTATGGTTGAGGAAGTATCCATAAGAGTAATTTAGAGAAAATTGATAAATATAAGAAATGGGTCTTATATTTAAGACTAAAACCAACTCAAGAATTAGGTCTTATATTAAGGACTAGAGGAGTAATTTATAACAACCAATTCAGGGTTTGTTTGGAATCACGATATTAAAAGTAGCTTTTTAATCGTGATTTACCAAATAAGAGATAAATATGTAAAAAGAGTTTTATCTCAATTTATATAAAAATACTTATAGGCACTTAAAGAAATGCAAACTAGTGTTTAGATTTGTTACAAATAACTAACTAATTTTTTAATATTTATAAATTAATTATCTAGTTTTATATTAATAACTACAGTTAGTAATGAAAATGAATAAAAATGAATGACTTTGAGAGAGTTGGCTGATAACCTGATGAGCTAGCCAACGCTAAATGAAAGGTCAATATGAAACTGATCTTTTTTAATCGGTAAATATAGTTGAGAGCAAATTATTGTGTTCAACTCTGTTTTTGTGGACTTAAAACAGAAGCAAACTATGTGGTGCCATTGTGCACGAATGTGGTGCCATCACCATCTCTCCCACCTATCAACGATGTGGTTATAAGTGGAGGGTTGTATTTTTCGTTTCAATGAGGCACAAAAGCAAAAACTTTTAGGGGATAAAAAGCTTTTTTTAAAAAGCTAATAATGATTGTTATTGGAAGAGATTTATAAGCTTTTAAAAGTATTAATTAAAATAAATAAATATATTATAAGAGGATGAATTGATTTTTTTTTTTTACCAGCATTCCAATAAAGCAATCGTTTATTGCCTATATAACAGTTCATTTTTTAAACAGAAATTAATTTAATAAATATTCATATATAGGTTTATTATCATTAAACTTTTAGTAAAAATGTAAAAAAAAAAAAATAGGAGTGAGCAAAACTGAACCGAATCGAATTTAATTTCGGTTTTTTGATTCTATTATTTTGGTTTTTGATTTTTATTTTTTAATAATTTTGTTTGGTTAGTAGAAAAAAATTCAGTTATAACCGAAAAACTGAAATAAATATATTATGTATTTATATTTAATAAATATTATTATAATAAATATATATGTGGGTATATGTGGACTCTTTAAATATATTTATATTCAATAAATATGATTATAATAAATATTATTATAATAAATCACATTGAAAGATCAAATATTTATTAATTAACAGTTGTAATTGTATTTTATTATTATTTTTAATTTAAAATCACTTTTTATATTTATATATTTCGGTTAATCAGTTAATCGAACTGAAATATTTTGATTAATTTAATTTCAGTTAGTTTAATTAATTAGTTTCGGTTCGATGTTTAAAATTCACTATATTCAGTTATTCAGTAAATTCGATTATCAAAGAAAATCGAATCAAAAAACCAAATGCTCGCCTCTAAAAGAAAATAGCACAAGGACGATATTAAAAGCATAACTTTTATGTACTTCTTATATTCTTATTCTAGTACTCCTTCATTCCTAAATATAAGATCCTTATATAGTGTATATAAGAATCTTATATTTAGAACTGGAAGAGTATTATTTATGTTTATTTAATAGTAATTAATCTAATTTATTTATTAAAAATATATTTTTAATATTAACAATGTTTTGCTTGTTATCATGTATCGATTACCAAATAAAAATGTTTTGCTTAAAATGGAAAAAATTACAATTTATCTTTGCACGGCATATTTTATGGCATAGGAGAGTGCAATTGTTGACCCAAAAAAAAAAAAAGATTTGCCCACAAGTCATTTTAACTAATTCGTCAAGATCAAAAACATAGTAGCTAACTTATTAAGTTTATCTCAAATTAAAAAAAAAAAATTCAACTCTACCCATATTTAAATAAGATTGCAGAGGAGACAACAAAATATAGATGTTATTAATTGTAGGAACGAACTTGACAAATAAGTAATAGTTACTTTTCAAATAACTAATGGTTTGGACCAACTCATTCTTTTAGAGATGACTTGTACCGTTGACAGGAGAAAATAGGAGTGTAATTTGAACATGAGCATGG